ATTCTGATATTTGTAATAATCACGTCCTTAGTTTTCTGTAGAGTTCTATCACCTAAGTATGCAGGCTTTGAAAGACGTACAATAGTTTAGTTTTTCTCTTTGTTAATTTAAGATAAATGGAATCATGTAGTGTATATTATTTTGGGAATTGCAACATTTGCTCAAAAATATCTTGTGAGATTCATATATTTTTTAGATATAGTTTATTCATTTCCATGACTATATTAGCTCATTGTATGACTATTACCATTCTATTACTGTTGATTTACATTCAAGTTCTTTCTAGAGTTTGACACTATAAACAATTCTACTATGAATATGCTTGTATATGTACCTTGAAAAGGCACATGTCCAAGACTATCTCAAGAGTCCACTTAGATTGGACTTTCTGTGTCATAGAATAAGCTCATCTTCAATTTTATTAGATAACATCTAATCTTTTTGCATTGGAAAATAAATTTACATTTATCCAGGGATGAGTTCTGCCACATCTTTACCAATGATGGGCATTGTCAGACTTTATAATTTTTAGTAACTAGATGGGAATATAATAGTGCTTCATTGTAGTTTTATATTTCTCTGATTATTAATAAAATTGATCATCTTTTCATATAGTTACTAGTTGGTTTTCCTCTTTTGTGATGTTCCTGTAGAGGTCTTTTGCCCATATTACTATTAAGTTGTCTTTTTTCCTACTAACCTGTTCTTTTTTATATGTCCAGAAAATTGGTCTCTTATTTTGGTTATACAAATTGTTACTAAGTTCCCCAACTCTCATGCTAATAATGGGGTCCTTTGATGAATAGACATTGTTAATTTCAGTGAAATCCATATATCAATATTTTCCTTTACAGGTACTGATTTTTTATATCATGTATAAATTAGCTTTCCTTACATTAAAATTGTGGAGAAATTCTGCTATGTTATCTTCCGGATCTTTGCATTTGCCTTTGATGTTTAATTCTTTAATTTGCACTGGAGTCAGTATTACGTGTGAGATAGAAGTCAAGTTTAATTTTTTTCCTATTTGGATATCTAAATGGCCCAGCATTATTTATTAAAAAGTCTGTCTTTTTAAACGAATCTGTTTCACATATCAAATGTCCATGAAAGCTGAGCTTCCTCTTGCACTGTCCATTCTGTTTCTTTGGTATATCTGCCGAGCCCCATGCCATTGTCATATTTACATTACTTTAAAATATGTCTTGATATTTGATAAGGCAATTCTCTCCCACCTTACATTATTTTCCCAAGGGTTTTATGACTCTCTTCTTGACCCTTTTAACCTCCATATAATGTCTAAAACAGATTATGGATTTGAACAAAAGTGTTTGCTGGGATTTAGTTTAGAATTTATTGAATCTACAGACCAATTGAGACAGAATTGAGATGTTTTGTAATGCTGAGTCTTTCACTTTATTAAATTTTTGTTCTAAATTTACTTAGATCATTTTTAATATTAATTCAATATTTCTTTTATATAACTCATATATCTTTATTAGATTTATTTCTAGATACTTCATACTTTAAACTAGATTACAATATGTTATTTCCTTTTAACTGCTATGTTGCTGGTAAATACTAGTAAAAATACAATTAATTATTATATATTATTATATATAATGTGCATATAGAAATCTTATTTTTATTAAATTTATTGGGATAATATTGGTTAATAACATCATATAAATTTCAGGTGTACAACTTTATAATATGACATCTGTGTACTCTGTTACATACAGAATCATGTCATATGTAAACAGTGGCAATTTTGTATATGTTTAATTCTTGCATCTTCTGTTTCTTTTCCTGCCTGACTTCACTGGCTAAGGCTTCCAGGGTGATATTACATAGAAGTGGTGGACAGCTGGCCAGCATCAATGTCTTATTCCTGATTCAAAAGAGAAAATGTTCAATGTTTTATTATTAAGTTCTATCCGGCTATCTGATGTTTGCAAATGACTTTTTATCATATTAAGAGTGCTGATCTAGTTTGCTAAGAATTTTTGTTACGAATTAGATGTTAACTTTGATTAAATGTTTTTCTGCATCTATTGAAAGGGTCATGTATTTTTTCTTTTGCATTATTTTATTGTCCTGGTTTACATTGATTGATTTTTAAATGTTCAACCAATCTCACATTTCTGGAATAACTCAACTTTGAAATGCTGTATTTTGAAGATGCTATTTTGTTGTTGTTGTTGTTGTCTAAGATTTTTGCATGCATATTCATGGATAAGGAACATTTGTAATTTTCCCTTTTATAGTGGCCATGGCCGGTTCTGATTTTAAAGTTATGCTGGCTTCAAAAAATGAATTGTAAGTATTCTTTCTTTACACTGAATTTAAGAATCTGTATAAAATTAATGTCACTCTTTGGTAGAATATGACAGAGTTCAATAGTAAAGCCCAGTAGACAGAGTTGTCTTTGTAGAAATACTGTAACATGTTCAATTTATTTAACAGATACTGTTCATATATTTACATCTATTCTTTTGTCAACACTAGTAAGTTTATTTTTTCCACGAATTTGTTCATTTTACTAAACTGTCCAAACTATTAGCATAGAATATTAATAAAACTCATAATATTTTTAAGATACAATATCTATGGTGATATTCCTTTTTATTCTGTACATAATCTGTACATTCTCATTTTTTGATTCTTGATTACTCTTAATAGTTATTTGTAAATGTATTTTCTCTTCAAAAAAGCTACTTTGTTAATCACCTCTTTTTGGATAGTTTTATTGTTCTTTAATTCCTGCCCTCTTCCAGGACAATGCAAGGACCTTTGAACACTTTAATTAAGTACATTTATTCCTCTCCTCATAGATATGTTACCAGATACTTTATTTCTACTTTAAATCCTACAATTCATTTTTATTATTTTAAAAAATTAATATTGCTTTATATTTTCCTAGATATTTACCATTTTTTTTCCTTGTTATTCCTCTTGCTTTCCAAATCTTCCATCTGGGATCGTTTTCCTTCAGCCTGAATGACATCTGTATTGAAAACTTGGGCCAAATCATGCTGCAATAACAGATGACTCCAAAAATCTGGCTTACAACAAAGATTTATTTTTCTTCTCTCCTTTATGTCCATGCTCAATGTACTTCTCATTTCAGGATCAAAGCTAAAGGAGCAACCCTTATCTAAGACCGAAGTTTTACAATTGCTGCTCAGGAGCACTCAAAAGTGATATGGTCAACCCTGAGATCAGTGGGGTATGAGGCTCATATTAGAAAGAGCCAGAAAACTGTCTGACATTAATAAGACCATAACCCAGAATTAATAAAATAAAATTGAAGTTTTGGGGAAACGACCAACCTATGTAAAGTTGGGTTTCAAATACACATGAGAACCACATTGTGGTTATAACTTCTCTGAGAGTTCCCTCTTCAGCTTTGGTCGGTATCAAGGTGACTTTTTTTGCAGACTCATGGTACTAGAAGAAAGAAGTTGGTTTACTTTTAATTCTCTCTCATCCCTCAGGGTTCCCAGGTCTTCAAGGGGAGTGTTATGTTATCTACGACACTGTCCACCTAAAGTGAGCCCTGGGATTGTTTACTGTCCAGCCTATCCCATTTCCACTCGGAAAACACCCTCAGAGAAAAGTGGGATTCAGTGATCCTCTTTTATAAAATATATTTTTATTGATTTCAGAAAGGAAGGGAGAAGGAGAAAGAGGCAGAAACATCAATCATGAGAGAGAATCATAGATCGGATGACTCCTGCATGCCCCCACTGGGGATAGAATCTGCAACATGAGCATGTGGCCTGACCTGGAATTAAACCATGACCTCCTGTTTCATTAGGTCCACACTTAGCCAATGAGTCACGCTGACCAGGTTCAGTGATCCTTTTAATATTTTGTTTATAATTTAACTTGGTAGATTCTTACTATATTTTCAGATATTTGGAACTTTTAAAAAGATTGTTTTCCTATTTTATGCAGCATTTTTAGTAGTTCTTATTCCACATCAAAGGTTTTCCAAATAATCCTACCCATCATGTTATCTAAAAGGGAAGTTCCAAATTTTATCTAGATCTAAAACTATCCACATAATTTGTTTATGTTGTTGTAACTGGCACATATTAACTGTGAACAACACAAATAATATTTGTTTCCCACCTTTATATTTTATTTAGTGGAATGTGACTTCTGCTCTAGATGAAAACTCTAATGGGTTTCATTTTTTTATTATCCAGCCCTGGATAACAAGTTTTAAACCTCAATTTGGATTAAATATCTTACTTCCATCAATTCATCATTATTACCATTAGCCTCCTTTGGCCTGGAGTCTGATGTACTGAAAGAAATCTCTTTGCTATTTTACTCTATTCTCTCTAGTCAATTTCTTTCCCATTTTTCCCTTTGCTATTTTACTCTATAGTCCAGTAGTCCCTTTCCACCACCCCTTATCCACAGGGATATGTTCCAAGTACTCTAGCGGATGTTTGAAACCACAGATAGCACTGACCTTATATATACAATTTTTCTTATACATACTTATGATAAAGTGTTATCTATAAATTAGGCATAGTAAGAGATGAACAATAATAACTAGAGAAACCAAGATGGCGGCATAGGTAAACACTGGAAATTGCTGCCTCCCACAACAAATTCAAAAATACAACTAAAAGACAAAACGGACATCATCCAGAACTACAGGAAGGCTGGCTGAGTGGAAATTCTACAACTAGAAGGAAAGAGAAAGGCACACTAAGACTCAGAGGAGCTGCGGAGGTGCAGAGGTACGGAGGAGCACACGGCAAGGGCTAGCGACTGAGGATGCGGCTGTCTTTTTGAATCAGGAGGGAGTCACAAGCCCCCGACTGCTCTGAACTCCGGTTCCAGGAAGTCTCTGGGGACCCAGACTCATTCGGGGAGAGACTGGATGGTCTGGCAGCGGGCATAACTTAGGGTGTGGGGGACCCTTAGGGCAGGGCTGAGGATCAGCCATAGCTGCTTGCTCCACCCTGTTGATCCCCTGAGACCCCGCCCCACCCAGGCTGCGGCAGAGGCTTTTGCATATGAATGCCCCGGCCATTTGCAACCTGTAATTAACCTAACTGCAGCCGGGTT